ATCTAAGTAACGCATATTTTAAATTTTTAAATTACTATGTTCTTTTGTAAATTTATGTATTTAAAAAAACTGTATAATTTATTATACTGAAATATCAGATTTTCCTGTTTTTGAAATATTTTCATCTTTTACCAAAAATATATTTCAGTGTTCCAGCAGATATTTGCACAGGCGAGTCAATTTTTCGACTTGTGTATATTTGTTTCTTGCATTTGATATCCTGCGTCATAAAATTTGTTTTTTTTTTTACAAGTTATAGATTATCTTAGTACGTACCAATCATTTTGGTCTGGCTTGAAGGATCAAATAATATGGATCTGGTTTGATTGGCTTCAAATGTTGAGACACCTAGCGAAGGTGTTAGTAAACTGTATATTAGGACGATTTATGAATTGAACTTGTATGATGATAAAGAATCATAGATTTATTGGAAGTCGAGCAATTTCTTCCCCGATAAAAGAATGTCCCTTACCGATATAGAAGGACAAGTAAATTTCTCTCGTATTCATGTCCTTTCTGCACTCTGTTTTGCATACACTCTCACACTCTTATTGGCGGTATCTCACCTGCGAGCCTGTTTTATAGACATTGGCTAGCCGGTGATAGCCACTCATTTTAAAATATAGGCCATTTGATTGCCCCAGTGTAAACTGTCCGAATAAAACTAAATCAAAGGGCAATCGAAGGAACGAAGCCGATCGTTCCTTAAGGACATCAAATAAAACAGGCTCGCAGGTCAGTGACCCAAATGAACAATAAGTGTTCACGGCACAACGGCTGCGTTGAAGTACGGTGGACATTAGGACTTTTTTGTTAGGAGAAAAAAACGGGACGATTCATTGCCTTAGATCCCAAATATTCAAAAAGTAAGACAATAAATTTCTTCATATTGACAAGAAACCTAAATTATTCTTTGTCGATATAATAATTGTAGATTCAAGAAACTGTGTGTACATAATTTAATCACATTGTGATCGCAGAAAGTGGCCAGCACACAATTATTATTAAATTTAACAGATACATAGATCGTGAGTTTTTATTACAGAATTTAATCTATGAAAGAAATCTCAGTTTAGATTTCATTTTCTTGTGTTGATAAAAATATGAATTCATCAATAATAAATATCCGCAGTCCATTGATATTAGTTAGAATTTATTATGGCATTTTCAACGATATGTTATGTTTTAGAATTCAGAGTCTCGATTATTTTCATCTTATTGGTTTCAATCATTATCATAATGTGACGTAACATCGCAGACGCAAGATCTATCTGTAATCTTCACCATTTCTAAAATCTTGACCGACTTTGGAAACGTTTCTGAGACCTTGAAGCCCTATTTATAAACTTATTAATTAATTATTGTAAAATCGTATTTCAATTGAGCAACTGGCAAGCAAAACCCTTCAATATTAAATTACGAGTTCCAAAGCTGCGATGTGCAATATTTTATTATCATTAGAATCATTTATAATTAGAATTATTCATTATTCACAGTCGCCAAGAACACATTACATCAGAAATCATTGACGTTTTTCTGATTAAAAACTTCTGACGTCTGTCCAATTTTTTTCCCCTACTTTTGCATATATTTCGTCGAATATCGCATTGTAAATTTTTTCCACAAGTATAAATATATGTAAATATGATCGTGCCACTTTTTATTAAAACAAGTTCTTTTTTTTATAGCAATTAGAGGCTTCCAGGTTTTTCTGTAATTAGATTGATTAAATTGGTTCTTCGAATCGCATTAACTGATTCAATTTCTGAAGAATTATAATGTTATTATCCATATTATTCTTATTATACCAAATCATACAGACAATATCAAATATAATACAAATTATTATATCAAATCATACAAACAATAGGAAAATATTATAAATGTAACAGTGATTTTCTCGCGTGAATTTTTAATAAAATTTCAGCAAAAATTAAAAGAGAAAGAATTTCGTAGGAAATAATATATAAATGTCGATGATTCATTATAAAAAAAATTACTCAATCTCTCCCGTTTTCCAAGGAGAAGTTTTACATATGTGCAGGACAGTTAATCATAAATAAATTATTTTACGCCATATGTATAGCAATAACAATGCATCGGTACCAAAAAAAAAAAAAAAAAAAACTAATTAATAGAAAAAATTAAAATTGATATTAAAATCAGTAACGAATTCAACTTCTTCGTATGCTTGAATTATAATAACCATTTATCGGTAATTCTCGCATTAAGAAGGTGTAGAAATGTAAATCTTTCCTTGAAAGTTTCCTTGAATCTTGTCATTGTTTTAAAAAACAAATGAACCTAACTAAACCTTTTTAATGCTCTAGAGATAGAAATACCTACTTTAACACATTTCACAAAATTCCACATTTTTGTTGGAATTTAAAAAAAATTTTTTTTAACACCAAGAAACTAACGACCTCAGTTCAAGAACACAAGAGGAATAAGAATCTTTTATATTCATTTTAGATAATGGCTGTGAATGAATCATTCCTAATCTTTAAATCTTTATTAATTCAACGCAAGTCTGCGCTTCACGTTATGTATATTTACTTACGAATTTGTTTTTCGCGCTGTCTCATGATTTTCTCATTCTCGTCAAGTAGTATTGATTAATTTAGTAAAGTGTTCTTCAGCCATTCCGTGAAACTTCAGAATAAACAATTGATTTCCTCATCTGGTCTTCTGAATAAAACAATACCACCTTGTTATCGAGTATAAAATCTCACGTCTGGAACTGTTTATCCAATAAACAGTGATATATTTCACACAATGATTTCACATGGTAGATACATAGGTAATAATCGAACGCGATTGAGACAGGATAACGCGACATAAGTTATGCTTTTAAATAGATTAAATCTGTTGTCGACTATGATCGTTTGATTAATATCGAACGATCGACCATTTGAAAGATATCGAACAAACAAATGGAAATTGAACTGGTTTGATTATTTCTTTTTTATTTGATATGAAATGTGTCTTCCTATTAAATTGAATAAGACCATAAATTGTAGTAATATTATATTGTTTTTCGCTTATAATCTCCTATTACTAATATTAATATTGACTAACGTCTAATTTTTCTTCAATATTCAGAACATGCTCATTGTCTAATTTTCCAGTTAAAACTTTCTTCTATTAACTATGCGTCATTATAAAATCTCAGAGATTAAACAAAAGTTTCCGTGAATCGGCAAGATCATTGAAACGAAATGAACTTTATACGCATTACAAAAACTGTACGCAGAATTGTTACGAAACCAGATAATATCAAATAATTTATGTTAAACGATGTTGTTACAATAAAGTTACGACGTCTAAAAAGCGAAATTCGAGTACGTTCTATCTTTATTTTCTGAAATTAAAGTAATCTTCAAATAGTTAATCACATGTATAAATTTTAGAATTCTTAGAAATATATTTTGTCTTTTATTCTTTAGGAATTTATTCTTTTTATTAAGAATTTAAAAAGAGAATGTAATAAGTAATTAATTTTTTTTAAATTATCTATCGATTAATAACTTGAAATATCGGATTATCGAAATATACTATTATTTTAACATTTCTTTCCATGTTAAAAATTATAAAATGTATTACGTAACAAAGAGAGACGGAAATATTTGATATTTCTTCATTCTACATTGAGAACTGTCACTGCGCGTTTTCTAAACATAACTAATCAGATTAACAGTTTGTTGTTAAACATATTTCATTTATCCGCTAAGAAGAAAATCAACTTCAACATTGTACTGAATATTTTTATATTTTTCATTGCAAACGATTCTAACGCTTTCATTTACGCTACAAGTATTTTAAGTTTACACATTTGAATTCCTTTATACCATCGTGCAAGGAAATTTTCATTTTTACAAAAGTGACGCGATACTTAATAGATACTACACACAGTGTGCAAATATACGAAAATATGACTAACAATTTTCGTAATCATATTTCCGAAAAATTACAATTATTTAAGCAATTAGCACGTAGTCTCAAATGAAATGTAAGAAATGGCCATGCCGAAAACGTTATTTTTATAACTTGATAAATAATCGAAGAAGTCGAATAATAAACCTCTTACAAATATTTTTTGCGTTCATCTGAATATATTGCTTCAGAATTGAATAAAATTAAATATGTATGAAATTCTCGGTTCTTGAACCACAATCGTTTAATGTGGTTATTTCTATTCAACTAAATTATTTTCATTGCTCAATGGATAATAATTGATCTTGTGATACAAAAAGTGAAATATAATTTCCAAGCACTTTCCCTTTTAACCTTCATAATAGAATCTTCCGAAAGATACCAATGTACTCTCTAACGCAGTCTTGTTTCTCGATAAAAAGAAAGATATATTATAAGTTCTTGCATTATGTTATATTTTTATATCTATTTCATCTATACGTTGCTTAACATTTACGTTACATTTTATATTTTGTGCCATTTTGATTCGTATGATTTATTAAAGCATTGGATAAGAACGTAAGGAAATGAAACACGAAGGTTGCCAAAGTGATTTCTTTTCAGTAATTACAATTTTCTGACATTCCAATGTTCATTTTTTTGTTCTCAGTTTCTTTAGAAAAATTCTCAATGAAATAAAACTATTCCCATTCGTATTCGAAAAAGTTCGAATCAAAATATTAAAATGAAATTGTCTTGTGCCGCGTTTTAAACACTTACTTCGCGCGAATTAAAGAAATTAGGTCGTAGAAAGTTGCACGAAAATTATTTTGTAAAATTCTGATCGTTGTTTCCTGTGGATAAAAATGACGTTTGTACAGATTTCCTAAGAATGGAAAGCTTTAAATGAGATCATACACGAACGACACGAAACACTAGAAAAAAAAAAAGCTATTAAAACGCATATCATCGTCAGATCAAGAAACAAGTCGAATATTCTACTGTAATTGGAATAAAAAAATATAGCGTCGATTTCCAAGTACAGCTTGGCTTGTGTGATTCGTTATTATTCCCACCTTTGCTCACACTGGACCTCCACGATTAATCCTACCAGTGTTCTAGAGGCTGGACTTATGTATATAAGCATCAGCCCAGATCTCTACCCAGTCGTAGTCACGAATCGCAGCTAACACGTTTAGGTGTGTCTTTCGCATTTATACAGAGTGACTGGCCACGTAAGGTGTTGGACCATGAAAGGTTGGTGGTTAATTAATTACTAAAATTTCGCACTAGAATTTTTAAAAACAAAAGTAGCGTAGCGTGCCATTTCCCCCCTAACATTTATCGGTTGAAGAATTCAGAAGTCAATCGCTTTTCGTTAAAAAAAAAATTAGACTGTACAGATATCCTTTTGCTGTTAAAATTGTCAATTTAATCCTTAGAGAATGTGTGCGATCACTATAACACGACTGATAAGATACGATTCATTTTTAATGAAAAGTGACTTGCACCGATTGATTTTTGAATCTCTTTCAATTAATATTCGAATAAAGTCTTGGAAAAATTTGTTTTAGAAGAAATGTAGTTAATATATAGACATAAGCAAATTTTTGCATCTTTTACGTACAAAAGTACTCAACTCTTGGTTTCATTTCGGATTTTATTTTGCGAGAAAATAGAAAGGAATCGATACAAATCAGAATGAAATGTTTCGAACAGAAGAACAGCTTTGTAAAGATGCATTATCAAAATGTCCCCGTCGTATTTAATTCTTGACTTTGTTTTGTCATAACCATAAATAGACTACGAATGCTCATATATTTTTAAAAAAATTTAAGAATACAAAAACCAACAGATGGTAACATATAAACATAAATAGCAGGGCAAAATATAATTGTGATAGTCATCGAACGAAACAAGTTTCTATTTAGATTTCATTTCTTTAGTGAAAATCGAAAAAGTTTGTGTGCAAACTTCAACAGTGCAATCACAAGATGGCTTTTAGTCTGTGAAATATTTTCGAAATTACAAAAGTTACATGTATTTTCAATTGTAATTTTTTCTTTCCTTTCGACAGCTATACTTCGAATATTCATCTGTATTCTCCTCGTGGTGTCGATCGTCCATGTGATCGCTCGACCCGATGAAGGAGCAAAATATACAAATAAATACGACAATATCAATGTAGACGAAATCTTGCAAAGCGATCGTTTGTTGAATAATTATTTCAAGTGTTTGATGGACCAAGGAAGATGCACTCCTGAAGGAGCTGAACTGAAAAGTATGTAATAGAATGTAATTCACTTTGTAATTGCAAAAGAACTTATACTATTATTAAATAATTACTAATAATATTGCTGATAATAATTATTAAACAAAAATTATCTTTTCACTGCAATTTCATTTTCACTTTCAATTCTTTTTCTCGTTATACCAAATTACTCCAACACACAATTTAGTATAATAATTTTTATTTTTATTATAAATTGCTTTCATTCTTCTGTTATCTATATCATTCTCCACGTTATCTATTAATCTATTATTTTTCTATTATTATTACTTTATTTATTATTATATTTTATCTATTATTATTATTTTATTATTATTATATTATTATTTTACTTTTCTATTATTATTATTTTTCTTTAGTCAGTAGAGATGGTTAAATCTTAATTAAGATTTGCTACTCTTCAACACTCTCCGACAAATAATTTTTCTCTTCAATCTTTCAGGAATCTTGCCCGATGCTCTGGCCACCGAGTGTCAAAAATGTTCGGAGAAGCAGGCTGAAGTAATCAAAAAGGTGATCAAATACATGGTTAACAACAAGCCGCAACTGTGGGAAGAGCTCGCGAACAAATACGATCCGGACAAGAAGTACCGAATGAAATACGAGAAGGAAGCGAAAGAGCTCGGCGTAAATGTTAATTAAATGCAATTGATCGATCGCGCGACAGGAATGCATAAGATTCCAAATTGTCACGAGCGATTAATACGTTCTTTCTGGAAATTATTTACGCCTGATGTAATGATCGAATGACGAATCGACGTTGCGATATTTGCGCCTGCGAAATAAGCGAGAGACCGCTAATTACCTCGACACGGCTAATAATTAAAATAGTTTTATAATTCAATTGAAATAAAAATTGATTTGAACAAACGTGCTCCAGTCGACATTTATTTTTTAAGAAAATACGAATTCTCGACCAAAGGGTTAAAAAAACTGCGGGTGACGTTAGTCGTTTCGTGCTCTCCTGTTTTGGCGGAGTCAAAATTCACTTCAATGAACGAGTTCCAGTTGGTTTTTATTTCTCGATTAAAAACAAAAAAAAAAAAAAAAAAA